CAACGTTTCAGGAACCAACTCTGTCCCCAGTCGCGACTTTCGAGGTACCCAGTCACATCAGAACTCTGATGATGGGGACAGAGTTGGTTTACTATGGTAACCAATTGACACGGCTGATTGTCCAAGAAGATTTTATTGATTATGTTGTAACACTTCAGTGGCAAGAGAACCTGAAACCTCATTGGTGCTATCATTGTTACATAGCTTTCCCTCTGCTGCATCTGTTGAGTCATTATACTTTTGTTGCTTAAATCCTGCATTCACACCAAGCCACTGAACAGATCAGCTCAGGGGTTTGCTTATTTAATGACACTTTGTCTACTGCATTAACAAAGAAACAGACCTCTGGTTCAGTAGCAAGCCTTTGTAAACATGATAATGAAACTTTTGGCTCAATAAGAGCTGGGAATTTCATGACCAGCTGAGCTTCATAAGGAGTTCCCTGAGCAAATGAGTTGGTTCTCAACTGCATAGGTCATGGCATTGAATGAAAACTGATAGAATGGTTATAACAAATAAATTATGGAAGAAAGTGGTTGTAGGCTACTTTGAGATTCTCTCCCAGCATCTCTTGGAAGGTCTGAGGGAAACCATGAAAAACCTCATACCCAACAGCTTGTCTGAAATGTATGTGCTCAGTCTTCTACCTGGAATGCAGTATGTTTAAACCTACCCTGATATTTTCAGGAATTCCCTCAGTCCATTTAAGTGAATGTTGGGATTGAGCATTCAAATAGGCCATGACTATATTTGTCTCCTCTCTGACTTATTATTTATGATCATCACATCTCATATGGTGCTAAATTATTTTAGAAACTGTTACATCATTTTTAAATAACCTGTAATCAGTCATTGCATTCATTACATAAGATTCTGTTGTGATGTACTAGGGGCCATGCTCAAGTATACCAAGTTCAAACACGCCATGATAATCTGTCCTGATTTAGTTTTTCATATGGCTTACCTCACTTTCTTTGGAACACTTATGAAGCAGCAGGAGTGCTAATCAATATGTTGTGACATTTATTGGATTTATATTATATTGCTGTTTCTTGGGAATGCATGTGTTATGGTACAGTCTCTCCTGGCATTTTAGGGTGGCTGTGTGTGTGTGAGAGTGTGTTGTCTCCTCAGTTCCTTAAACATAACAGTCACTCGCATGTGGCAGGTGATCTTCAGCAGGTGTGGTGTTTAGTTGGTTCAGTCATGATATGTGTAAAACACAGTCTACTACTGCTGCTTCTTAACATGTGGAAAAGCATAGCATTTTTACTGTTAATACTCTGCAGATTGGGTTACATATGATGATCTGTGTGTTCTTGTCAGCCAGTACAGTATGCTCTTAATGTAAATTATTTAGAAGACTGTGTATGTGCAATTTTTAGTTTTCTATAAGATAATCTAATATCCAAGTTTTATATAAATGTTTTGTTGTTATTCATGTGTTATTTTATTGAAATTAGGCTGTACAGAAACGTTCTCTCTGCACCAGTATGACTGGTAAAGAGAATGAAGGCAAAACTGATTAACATTGTTAATTTCCCTTTATGAGGTGCGAGTCCTTTGTCTTTACAGTGCAAATGGCTGCGTATAACCCAGGGATGTACTTATTATAATTTTATTTTTGGATGTTTGATCCATGTTTTTTAATGAGGACTGTCAAATGATGATGAATTTCATATGAATATATGAAGCATTTAGGTCCATTTATTTTAATAGATGATCTACAAGATCTGATTTGTGTGGATTTGAAAATTGTTGTTCTTATTCTGACATTGGATTGAGTTTTTCAGAGGACCACCTGTGAGGTTCATTTAACCCATGACCCCACCATATATAATTTAAATTACTTTTTTATTTTACAAGTGGCATAGTCTGACAATGGAGCAGGATGTAATTTCCAAAATTTTGGATTCCGCAGAAGACAATATGATAACCCACTGAGCAGAATTTTAATTTGTTTTTAAAGACGAGTCTTACATTGTAATTGTGTTACGCAGCCTAACATGGACAAGAATGTGATCACCCAAAATTGGCTGACAGAGGATCTGAAAGGATCAGGGACAATTTGGAATGTGGTGTTATTCGGTTAAATCTTATATGTTGAGTACTATCAGCAACTTGTTACAGGGTATTGTAATTTATACACAAATGATAAAGAGCTGTCAAGTACAGTAGCATGTATCTTATTTTTATGGACAGTCAGTTTGCCAAGGCTTTTCTTAACTTGCCGTTATGTCATCACTAATTTCACCATGTGGGCAGAAAATTGATGTAACTTTAGCATTAAGTGCCTTTCCCTTTTTAACCAATTTGCATGTTTTTATCTTACTGATCTTTCTCTCCATTAGGGTGGTCAAGGCCTGCAATAGGCTGTAGAACCCTTGATGATGATGATCTTTCTCTCCCCCCTGTTAATTATGTAAGATGGCTTTGTTAACTGTATGTGTTAGATAATGATCTTACTGTATACATTTGAGAAACCTCTTTTTATCACTTCACATCCCTACATCTGATTGTGTGGAAGTGTCACTTCACATTGGTATGACCGGTGATCACATTTTAGAACATGGTATTATTATTATTATTATTATTCTGCATTGGCTTGTGTAATCCGAGATTGTTTGATAGAGAACTGCACTGCACTGGTAGTTGGTGGGATTTTATTTCAGCAGAGGTCATGTGGTCATGAATACTATGAAAGTTGTATAAAATATTCATGTTATTGAAACTTCTGAGAATTAAAGCTATAACTTGTGGTTTCATTTTAATTAATTTTCATATCTATGCAAATCCAAGGTTTTTTGTCTTTAATCATTGGTAACCCTTGCTCTGTGGGGTGCTTTAGCTGATAAGATAATCTGATTCCTTACAAAGTGAATGACCAGGTTTTGATTCTTGGCACTGCACTTCCATGTTGAACAATGGTTTGGGACTTGCCTAGTGTATCCAATGTGTGTGTGTGTGTGTGTGTGGGGGGGGGGGGGGGGTCCAATTCAGCAAAGACAGAACATGAAACCTTCCTTAAATGCTGATGTCAAGAAGAAATGATCCTGAAACATTTTGATTTTTTAAAAAATATATTGTAGTTTGATTATAACATTACTTTTACAGTGTGATTTCAAAGACATTTGTGTGCTTCACTTAGGAATTCTATGCAATTAAATAATTGTAATTTTCTTGTTCAATTTTAGATTTTGCTGAAGCAACAAAAATCTAGAAGGTTTCACGTCATTTACGGGCATGCTAATATGTGCATGCCCTGATTTAACAGTTCATTTCACTGTACTTTAATCATTGGTGTGTGGTCTACAGTTATGATCAGATGCCCATTGTGTATTTGCATTAGATTTCTCATTTACACAAGAAAATTTATTATCAATAAATAGCAGGTCCCTTGAAATGTCTCTGAAGAAACTATGGTAGGACTGTATCTAGAACACGATTCAGGAAAGAAGTGTGTAGATGAGGAGCCAATACTGTTTAGAACATACATTTTTTCTTATTCAAAAAAGAGATTATAATAATAACTTTCAGATGAAGGTACGTGGGAAGCAGAAGTAGCACAAGACAGGTACAAGGATTGACAAGACCTAGTGTTGAATTGGCTCATAGTGCTGCACCTGGTATCAAGGATTATTCTTATTCCATTGAATACTCCAAACTACTACTAGCGCAGTTTCTGGTCTCATTATTATCGGAGGAATCAAATCTGTACTGCCATCAATATTACATCCTGCAAGCAGCTAGCAGCCTGCTGCTGCAGCATATCACAAGTAAAGAGATGGAAGTTTTCAATGCTCCAACTTTCTGTAGTAGGCACAGGAAGAGCTACTGGTGCACAACAAAATGTACTAGACACCTGTCCTGTCTAAAGGAATTCACTCAAGTTGAAAACCGTCTTTGTCAGCCCGACGGGACAGTTGTTGAGTTCCGTTCAGCCGCTGGAATTTACTGCACTCTCTGGCTTTGTCATTGGTCATATCGACCTTTACTTATCCTCTTAGACATGAGGTAGACCCTCCGCGTATCTAACTGTATACACTTTCTTGAGAAACGAAACACTTGTAATCGAGGTGCCTGCTGCCATCTACTAGGGCGTTGGAATGACTGTTGCAGAAACGGCGTAATGGGCAGAGAGAAGCTTGTGCCATGAATAATCAACCAATGATCAGAATTGTAGTCCGGCTGGTCAGTTTAGAACGGTGCCTCGGTGCTTAGAGTTGGGGGGGGGGGCATTAACACATTTAATGACTGATGTCAAACATAGGCGGAATAGCCTCAGGGAAAGTTGGGGAGGTTGTGAGGAATCACTTAAAATATGAAGTATGTAGTACGCCTCTCTAGAAAATTTTAAAGGAACCTTGTGTGAAAGGAAGAGAAATACGAGGTTGGTTCCTTCGGTATTAAAATTCCCTAACTCATATTATTTGAGTTTATATTTTTGTGAATTGTATGTCGTTTAATTATGCAAAATTGTAAAGTTATCGTTAAGTAACAACGATAACAACTTTACATAAAAATAGTGCTCATTTATTTCAAGGCTGGTCGGCACGTTTATTTTTGAAACTGTTACTCGAAACTCCAGCTAACTGCGAACTACGACTTAACAATCTTGCAGTTTATGATTTTTAGCATAAAATATCCAAGACGGAGTTTCCACCTACAGTTGAAACCTGAAAATCTGCAGACGATTGTTGACGCATGTTTGTCTGTGAGAAGGAAGTCTTGTCCTAGATTGTATACACCTAAGAATTCTGAAACAGGCACACTTAACGCATTACTCAGTGTCAGAATCTGTACAATCACTGCAAATCATCGAACACGAAGGGGAGATTATTTTAAAGATTTGTTATAGTACGTGTAAAAGAAAGATTAATATCAATTATAATTTTGTGTGATAGACAATCATTATATGGGTATATAAGTATGTTGAATTGGCAATACATATACACATATCATGAACAAGAACGACGCACCCAATTTTTAAAATGCGCGCCAACTTGTACTGAGATAAGACAGACGCCATTTTAAAGTACGTTTGTTTACAATAGAAGGGAAATTCTAGTGATTTGTAATGGAAATTTTTGAGTATTTGGATGTAAGGTAGTACAAGAGAAGTTGTTATAAGACGTGTTTCATTCTAAGTGATAGGCAAAGTTATTCGTCGCCGTACACATGAATGTAAGCATTTATTATACGTTTCAATTCGACACATTGGGAACTGACGTAGAAAGGCGCCAAAAAACTTATTCCAGTCTAATGTCCTTGCATTTGTCACGGCTGTAGATTTCCAGTCGTGTGAGTAAGTATGCCTTTAATGCAGTATATTGGTAAACTCTTTAAAAATAATATGTTGCTTGTTTTGCGTTTTACGAACGATTTGACCAGAGGTCAATGTGACAGTAACCAGATGATTATTAAGAAATAAGTGTTCCCTAAGATTTATTGTAATAATATTTTATTATATTGTGCTCGCTAATTTCTCAATCACATTTCAGGTCGATTTGGAGTTTACCTTCCAAGTGTAATATTTACAGCCACTATGTTTTACGCCCACTTTGTGTTGGCAAAGAAGGGCCCTCTGGCCCGTATCTGGCTGGCTGCTCATTGGGACAAGAAGCTCACAAAGGCACATGTTTTTGAAACAAATATAGAAAAGTCAGTTGATGGTATTTTGCAACCAAAGGTTGGTTCTCTCCATGTTTTGTGAATATAATGTAATATGTTTTGTTTTGAATATTGAAGTAAAATTATTTACTCTATGTGTAGTAACATGCTGTTTGCATATAAGTGTGCTTTACAGTGTAATTTTTCGCATTTTTAAATTGCAGTTCTTATGTCAAGACCTTATTGTATGAGTGTACCCGTTTTATAGGTTAAGATGGCACTACGAACATCAGGTCATTTACTCTTGGGAGTAGTGCGAATTTATTCACGGAAAGCCAAATATCTATTGGCTGACTGCAATGAAGCATTTGTGAAGATAAAAATGGCCTTCAGACCAGGGATGGTGGACCTACCAGAAGAGCATAGAGAAGCAGCCGTTAATGCAATTACTTTGCCAGAGGTGTTTCATGATTTTGATACAGCTATGCCAGAGCTTAAGTAAGTTTATATAGATTTGAAATGATATTGAAGTAGTTCAATTGGTTAAATGTTTATTGTAGCTACTTGGGTTTCAGTGATGTGGACATTGAGGCTCAGTTCAGTTTAAATCAGTCCCGTGCAGAGGAGATAACTATGAGAGAAGACTATGGCAACATCAACCTAGTTGCAAGTGATGAAGGCTTTGGAGATATGGGTTTTGACACAGAACCCCCAGAGCTGATGAGAAATGTTTCTAATCTGGAGCCCTCACTTGAGCAAGTATGACAAAGTTTTATGCATGTTTTTGTAGTCATATAAGGAAAGAAACTTAAGGTGGTTGAATGTAAGCAAGGTGGGGAGAAAAAAGTGAGATTTGGTATTGAAAGAAAGAAAGAAGCTTTTAATTTAAATGAATGTAAGTTAAGTTCAGAGAGAAAACTAAAAGGGTGAGAAGGAACTGGATATCTTGTAAAATTTTGAACATTTAGAACATCCCAGGATTCAACAGGAAGCCAGAGAAAGCGTATATAGTGATCCTGTATTATACATTTTAACCAAAGGAATGACTCCCATTAACTACATTATGATTTTATAGTAATACATGAAACAAGGTTTTAGATAAATTTTTTATGCTTATGTTTTGTTATGAAAACGTAATATAGTTGCATGGTGATGATGGAAAATCTGTTTCACATGTTGCTAGTAAAATAATAAACAGACTTGTAATGAAATGTTTTATCTTGGAATACTGATTTGTTGTGTGAAGACAGCTAATAGTAATAATGTTGTTATTTTCCCAATATTGTTGTTGTTTCAACATGGCTGAATTAGTTTTAGTTCCAGGTTGTGGTTTGAAGAAATGTTTTCATTTTTTAATGCCCAGCAGATGACAGACTTATGTAACAAAAAACATAACCTCAGAACTGTAAAGTTCAGTGCAAACAGTATAGGCCTTGAGCAAATCATTTTATTTTTAACATCTGTAAAATTAATGTTGAATTTCCTATATGAATAGTTTTTTATACATCTTTTGGGGCAAACTTGATACGCTGTATTTTACTTTAGAAAATTTAGAACAAATTTGGTACTTTATTGTCACAGTTGATTTGTTTTCTACTCAGTGGATTTCAGCCAAAGATTGATCTCTTTCTCTCTTAGGTATTAGAACATGAAGATTCAGTTGTGCAATATAACCATTTCTCAACCATTAATGTGCCCTGCTGTCTCTGTTTCTTGTTCATGAGACGGTAAGTCAGGGCGTGTAATGGGCTGAACAGCTTTTAGAGGAAAAAGCTTTCTATAAGGTCAGGTTATACATGGCTGAAGATGAGTAATGTAAAAAATAGATGACTGCTGTTTGTGTTGGAGGCAGGAGAACTGGTTTACTCTGGGAAAAATACTTTATTCTTATTGTCTGGTGTTGCAATTAATCCAGTATTTCACACTCTGTATCAGTGTATGAGTGTTGTCAAGTCTTGAGGCCTATGATGTTGAAACAGCACTGCTAAAATTCTGTCCTTAAATATATTACGTAGCACCGGTCTTTTAGAGATTTGGGAGTTCAAACTTCAAAAGAGGAAGAGATGTAATAGCAGTAGTGGGCCAGTGTTGAGTAGGGTTATGTAACTAGAGTGGTGTGACTCGCTCTGAAAGTGGCATAAAAAAGATGGGTGTTACGTGGTGTATGTAATGACAGCATTTGAGTGATACGGTTTCATTATTGTTTAATCAATTAGGCCTTACAACTTGACAACAGGTAATCTAAATTAATTGTCCAGGTGTGAATAACTGTGATGCAGGTTTCTTCTTGATACAAAATTTGAAAAACTGGATTACTTATGATACCAAACTTCAACAATAAAGTGTTTTGCCCTATTGTGAACCAATTATCCTGTCTCCAGTGCAAAACAGCAGTCACCTCCTTTTTACATTACCCATCTTCAGCCATGTTTAACCTGATCGACTAGAAAGCTTTTTCCCTCAAAGTTGTTCAGCCCCTTACATGCCCTGACCTATTGTCTCATGACCTCCACTGGCCTATTGGCACACCAGCATCAGACCTCGCTGTACCATCCTTTACAAAATAACAAGAAAGAAGAGACATCTGTGCTCCCTGGGGGATGAGGGAAGGTTATAGCTAGTATCAGTCATTATGAAGAATACAGTATGTTTGGTACGTAGTATGTAAGCACAGCCAAAAATCTCAGTAAAAGCTGAATATTTATTTTGCGTATATGACAGCCATTATGTGCTTCTGCAGACAAACCTATTGTTCAGTGATGGTCCGCCCGTTGATCATATTTCCCTGGACAAAGATAAGGAGCCACAGCCGTCTACATCAGGAGGCCAGTCATCACGGTTAGCTCTGGAGATTGATACGCCGATACGGGACGATGGATTTGGAGGAAATTTGGATCAGGATATCACAGGTGCTGTTCTCAAGTTCAGTTTGGTTTGGATTCTGGTTTTTTGTATGTTCTTAATAGGGTGGGTGAAGAATATCTTACCTTTTATGATCACAGGAATGGGCTTGGGAAGGGAAAGGCAAACAGAAGGATCTTTATTTTGTCTGGTCTCTAACCTGGCATTTATTCGTAGACCACCTTCACAAACTGCTCGTGTATTGTACTTGTGTGGGTACAGGCCATATTTTCATTATTTTATGTAATTCTTGGAAAAGCCTAATATTTCTACAACATAATGCGTTATTTTTCATTATCTGTGCTTTCAAAAGTAACAGATTTTTGGCCCTGTGACATCTCAGCATGAATATTTGTAGTTATGGTTTCGAAGCCTCAACTTTTGTGGTTCAGTGTGAATATGCAATACCATTCCTGTATCAGCAATCATTGTGCATTGGAGATGACTATGTTTCATGTTGATAGCTGGGGGACTGTTTGAAGGGGGCCTCTTTGATGATGCCCCGATGCCAGCTGAAATTGCAGCTGCTGAATCGAGTTCAATTCAGCAAGCGGAGGAAGCAGAGAAGCCTTTAGAAGATGCCGCTGTCCATGACAGTGATGATGATATAGGGGATCACTTTGGGGGTCCACCATCTGTTGGGGGACAGAGGTAAGATTTACTCAGTACATACATCCATGTTGGGTGCATGAATGAGGTGCAAACTGTGTATAAATTATCATTCCACTACCACTCTGTATTCATTCATGTAACATCTGTGGAATGGATAATGGGCCTCTTAGCAGACCAGAAACACAGACAGACAGCTCACCCCCATAGCTATAACAACAACAACAAGAAGAAGAACAATGTTTAAGTTTGTTTTTTCAGTAAAATGGGGAACATAAAATAATGAAGGTAAAGAACTTAAAATATAAGCAATTGTAGATTTTATACAACAATATCAAGAGAACAGGAAGTCTTTTAGGATATGAGAAGATTTCTGAGGGCAGTTTTAAAATACATACTTGGGGGAATAGAGGAATAGGTTGTTTCATAAATGAGACGGACCAAAAGTCCAAGACTAACAGGCCACATTTTGGACACCCCTGTGCAAATCTTCTAATTAAAATAAATCTGTAATTTTCAAGAGTTGGGTCTCCAAGAGAAACATTTTTTTGATACTTCATATTTTGTTTTCCGTTTCTAGCTTAGTTTGCATGACAGTGGGGATCTGTTGATGATGTTATTCTATCGTATACCTGTTGTCATTGTCCCTTTTGCTACTGTAATTTTTGTTGTCTGTTGGCCCTGCCTTCACTGTGTCGGACATCCCTTTTTCTCCCATATCATGTTAGTTAATTAATCCATGCCCTATGAGGACTTGGACTGCCCCAGAGGTACTTCATTGCCCACTTTTCTAGGCCAGTTCTTGGGATCTCCCCCCATCTCTAGTCTCAACCAGGACTTTTTTTAACCTTCTGGGCTTTATCACCTAGGCCCTTCCCCTTTGCTTTGTTGTGGATTAGCCTCCTGCATTTTCTTTTCCTCACGCTCTGCCTCCTCGAGATTTCTGTCCTGTGCTTGGCCTACCAGGGCTTTGGAAATCCATATTCTGCCCTTGCATGGCTTCAGATTGGACCTCTACTGGTCCCCACAGACATTTACCTCTTGTGGGCTGCCTCACTTTGTACTTTCTCCTTTAGGCTTGCCATTAGTGGCATTGTCTCTTGGCCTTGCCTTTGCTGCTATGGACATCCCTGGACCCTAGCTGTATTAGATGAGTTCCAAGGGGCTTTGCCACATATGGGGCTAAACCACAGGGAGTTTCACACTTTGGATCAACCCCTCGTAATGCCCCAGCCTACTCCAAATCAGGACTATTCAGCCGCTAGGTCTTTTACTGCCCAGGCCCTTCCCCAGGATACATGCTTCTTCATTGGGGCCATTCCCCAAGCCATTGTTGCTCCAGGAGCTTTGCCCCATGGTCCACATCTTCAGCGCCTTAGCCACTAGGCCTGGACACCTATGTGATTCCACCATTCTTGTTGCAGCATTCATGAAAGAATGGCCTAAGGTTATTGCCAACACTATTTTAGCAAGAATGGCCTTGGATCACATTTGTGCAACTTGAACACCTTTGGAACATCATTGTATTCAAAGAGTGCACCTTTTGGATCATGTATTCCTGTGACACACCATTTGGTATGGTAGTCAGGAGAAATGCACCATTTGAGTATTTTTAAAAATTGAACAAAGTTTTGTAATTTTTCCATGGTTGTTTCTTAGTGATCTACATAGGGTTTGAAGTTCCATAGCCACCTGGTCAAAGTGCGATCAGACTGGTGCCACCATGTGAAGTGGGATTTGACCACCCTGCTGTTGCCAAAAACTTTTGTCTTAACATGATTGAACAGGGGAAGTGTGAACTCCACTGCTTTAACCCCCTTACTGTCTGCGCTGGGTAGTACTGCCACCATCCCCTATTTACCCTTAGGGAGAGAAAACCATAATGAAGGGAATCCTACATTTGGTAGCTGGTGTAGCCCTGGAGGTGTGGTAAGGGTCACATGTCCTTTGAAATGAAATGCCTGCCTCTCTGTGTTCATGTATACAATACGTGGTTACTATTTACAGTTAGTGAATCATATTCCACGTTTATGTTGTCAGGTGCTGTGTGTCTCATGACCATGGTTTGTCTACCCTATGCCTGATCAGTTCCATTAAAATTCCCCTAACATTCTCACACATTGGCTAGTCAGAACCAGATTTTCACATGTACAATAAATGGTTAGCAACCAGCAGCTTTCTGTGGGTGTTTGGCTTGTGACCCTCTTGGTTCTATGGCTTCGCTTCTTTTCAGTCATTTGCAGTCCTAGTGGTACCTAGTGGCAGGGGAATCTGTTGCCGGTGCTTGCCCTAACTGCCCTCTAGTGTGGTCTACTGTGAATGCATGGTTTGTCAAGATGTTACATTACACATATCTTTGTTCTCTACTTGTTCTTGTCTGTTCTCATATATGTTATCCTCCATTCTCCTCTCTGCTTAATCCTCTGGTGACGTAATTACTAGAGTTATTGTAGTCTCATTTTGGTGATTCTATTTATGCAGTTAGGTCTGACTACCTTACATGATTGTTTTCTCAAATATTTGTGATCAACATTACTAAACCTGTTGTGCTAACATTGCACTGGCTGATGATTTTGGTTTCTTGTGGCTATGTGCACCCCATTTTGTATTTACCACTTTCTTGTGTGGTTCATCATTTTGGAGAAGTGCAGTGATGTGTTCCTTGGACACTTCTGAGCCTAATTTTTTAAATAGAAAGATGTTAATAATTTACATTGATTTATTTTTATAAATTTTTCTCTGATGTGTTGCTTAGGAGAAACAATTGGATGGGTGGAAGGATGGACATGTGGACTTGGTTGTTATGTATATAGATGTAAGTGACTATTATTGTCCTTACCACATTTAAAATGTTGTAATGTGATTGCAGTGTGGATGCAGACTCACGTCCTGCCACCCCTGCACAAGGCCTTGTTTCAGAGCCGCCACCACCAGAGCCACAACCAGTGGTCCCACCTCCAGTAGAGCCAGCATTTCAAGACCAAATTGAGGAGCAGCCTGGCAGCGTTGCACACGAACAAACAACGTTACTTCAGAATGAGGAGGAGAGCTTTGCCCTTGCCCCTGTGGATGCCTCAGCACTGAGAGGTGTGAAATGTGTATTTGAAGGATGTTCGCATATCCTTACTTGGCTAGCCAGATAAGTCATAAATAACCAGGTTTAGGAAAAGGGATTTGAGGTTCTCAGACCTCTTTTCTTTCTCTCCCTCTCATGCCCTTGCCCCTCCTGCTGGATAGGCTGTGGCATGCCTCCCTGTTCCTAGAGGTTCCCAGGCCCTCACCTGATTCTGACACGTCCCCACTGGTTAGTCCAAGGCTCTACCTTGACTGTTAGTCTCCTATAACGCTAACCATTTGCACATGCACGGCTTACTCATCACCCTGATGTTGAAGGCAGCAAGGGCGTGAGAATTGTAGGTAAGCTTCTGCCAGAAACATGGCGCAACATCCGAGCAGATAGCCATCTCCAGGTTTAAGAAATTTTGTGTACAGAGGAGGTGATATCAGTATCGTGCTTTTTACCGGACATGTCCCAAAATGTGTGTGTGGTTTTAATTGTTATTTTTCCCAAACTTGTCACCCAACATTTATAAATTTCACTCGGATTTTCTCTTAGGTGCTTACAGGATATGATAACATTTTAAATGTGAAGGAAACTCTGAGCTGTCATTATTCACATTGATTTTCATCTAAAGTAGCTGGAATTTCATTTTCAACCCGACACAGACATTGTTGATTGTTGTTATTAACTAGAGCAGAGCGCTCCTTTAGTTTGTAAAACGCATCCAACCTTGTGTAAGAAACTAAACTAACCCCCCCCCCGAAGAGAGGGTTAGTTTAGTGTCTCATTCAAGTGTTTTAACCCCCCATTCGAGTTTAGTTTCTTACACAACATTTTAAAACGCAACCAACTCCCCCGAATGGGGGTTGGTCAAGTGTTTTAACCCCCCATTCGAGTTTAGTTTCTTACTCAAGGGTTAAAACACTTGAATGAGTGTTACTTAAGAAACGCAACCAACCCCCCGAGGAGCTCCGAAAGGAGCGCCCTGCTCTAGTCTACTATAAAAATTTCTGATTCCCCATTGTCGTCATCAAAAAATGATGTCATCAACAATGTAACCTTATACTTGGTAATGTTGTGGAATACAACAATGCCGAGTAAAAAAATACCGCTTCACTCCCAAGCCAGTCGCATTATCACTGCTACAGAAGCAGCACGTCGCATTATTAAAAATTGACCGACAGTTGGCCTAAAACATCAGAAAAGTGAAAGAAGACGTTACCAACACCGACAAGGTGATCTGATACTAATAATAATACTCATTCAAGTCATACTGCTCATTCAAGGGTTAAAACACTTGAATGAGTGTTACTTAAGAAACGCAACCAACCCCCCGAGGAGCTCCGAAAGGAGCGCCCTGCTCTAGTCTACTATAAAAATTTCTGATTCCCCATTGTCGTCATCAAAAAATGATGTCATCAACAATGTAACCTTATACTTGGTAATGTTGTGGAATACAACAATGCCGAGTAAAAAAATACCGCTTCACTCCCAAGCCAGTCGCATTATCACTGCTACAGAAGCAGCACGTCGCATTATTAAAAATTGACCGACAGTTGGCCTAAAACATCAGAAAAGTGAAAGAAGACGTTACCAACACCGACAAGGTGATCTGATACTAATAATAATACTCATTCAAGTCATACTGCTCATTCAAGGGTTAAAACACTTGAATGAGTGTTACTTAAGAAACGCAACCAACCCCCCGAGGAGCTCCGAAAGGAGCGCCCTGCTCTAGTCTACTATAAAAATTTCTGATTCCCCATTGTCGTCATCAAAAAATGATGTCATCAACAATGTAACCTTATACTTGGTAATGTTGTGGAATACAACAATGCCGAGTAAAAAAATACCGCTTCACTCCCAAGCCAGTCGCATTATCACTGCTACAGAAGCAGCACGTCGCATTATTAAAAATTGACCGACAGTTGGCCTAAAACATCAGAAAAGTGAAAGAAGACGTTACCAACACCGACAAGGTGATCTGATACTAATAATAATACTCATTCAAGTCATACTGCTCATTCAAGGGTTAAAACACTTGAATGAGTGTTACTTAAGAAACGCAACCAACCCCCCGAGGAGCTCCGAAAGGAGCGCCCTGCTCTAGTCTACTATAAAAATTTCTGATTCCCCATTGTCGTCATCAAAAAATGATGTCATCAACAATGTAACCTTATACTTGGTAATGTTGTGGAATACAACAATGCCGAGTTTGTTTATAGTTGACATTGTTGATGACGTCATTTCTTGAAGACAACGGGGAATCACAAATTTTTATAGTAGATATGGCTGCTTTATTGAATAACCATGTACGTAGATGGTGAGTATGGAGATGAGCAAATAGTGTGTTCTGGTAATTATTCTGCATTAGAACAGATGATAATTCTATTTTGTCCCCAAAAATGGCAGAAAAATTGTATGTATATCTCCATGCTAATGTATGTGTTGTGAAGTGCTGATATGAAATTTGGAATAAGTAGAATGTGGAGTACATTTTTTGTGGTAGGAGCTAAAAAGTTGCAAGGAGCATTATTTGCAAAGATAATGTGATGTTTTAAATTAGTGGTGCAAATTGTTAGAGTGTTACTTACGTGATAAAAAAGTCACACTGTAAAAACTCTGCCTTTTGTTCTCTTGAGAGGAGTGGCAGGACAGGACTCACGCATTTGTGCTCTGTTTCATTTCTCTTATTTTTCCTTTATTGGGTTTCAGGGTTTACAAAGACAAAACGTAAGCGTAAGCTTATTGTTGATGAAATCAAAAACATATCAGGTGAGGAAATGAAGGCTCAACTGTCGGACACAAGTGATATTGTGACAACGTTGGATCTTGCTCCTCCTACAAAGAGGCTGATGCACTGGAAGGAGACTGGTGGTGTAGAGAAGCTGTTTGCATTACCAGGTCGCCCAATTCCAGCCAGAGCACTTTCAAAGGTGAAAATGCATTGTAAATTATAAAAATTAATTGCTTGGTGGTGAAGGGTAGGTCATCCTTGTTGAGACAAAATTATAAGTGACACCTGAATTGATTGGTAAGGTTGTTAATGACTGTCCCTGTTGGTTCCTTCCTCTTTTCTTATTCTGTACAAAACATTTCCACTTCCAGTATGGGCCAGTTTGAATAGCCCATTCAATTTGTAATTTCACAAAGCCAATGATAAATATTTAAGTATAGTAGTACCTTGTTATGGTGGTGGGGCTTGAGCACCTCAGTGACCCCAAGAGCTATGCTGGCGGTAGCATAGCTGACTGGTAGGGCCTCCCTAGCCAGATTGGTCGAGGGAGAGAGGTCAGACTAAGACAGGTACCCTGGTCCTCCAGGTTGGGGGTTGGTCGCAAGGCTAACAACCTTGCACCGTAAAAAGGAAGATGTTTCGAAACCTTAATCAAAGCCTCGGACAGACGGACCTAACAGAGGACCGAATGGTAGAGGAGAATTTAGGAGGCCATGGACCGAATACGGACCAGAGAGCCATAGAAGAAGAAGTATATGTAGTAAATCTTTAATTCAGAAACCACCGAGGACTGAATTCACATGTTAAATCTGAGAAATAGGTGTCTTAGGTTTGAGAAGACACAATTCTAGTTTAGCTTTTTCTGCATGCCTTCCCCATCTGTCACCTTGATGGAGTCAAAACTATGATTGTGAAATCCAAGGTCCCATAATGTTTTGGAGTTAAAATTCCTCTGCTGGTAGAAGCATGTCAGCAGTTACGATCATTGCCCTCAAAGTAATGCTTCCTGTTGTAAAGAATTCTTTAACGGTGTATATGGGGTGATTGTAAAGTTATGCTATCCATATGAAAATATTTGTTACTGGTTGGAGTTCAGAACAGTTTGATTGGATTAATAAACAGACAGTACTGCTGTGACTGTATAATAGCCCACGCAGGTCACGTCATGTTATCTGCTTCAGCCAGTCCTTCAGTTGTTTTTCAGTGGTCGAAATACAAGGAAGTCTTTTTCACAAATGCAAGAAGTGTTCATTGTCAAACACTACCTGGCATCTCATTCGTACTTAACTTGCCAGAATGAGTTTAGAGATACATTTCTCAAGTCTCCTGTGTCAAACAAATTGACGGTATCTTGTCTGGTGAACCGTTTCCTTGACACAGGAACTGTTCGCCAAGTTGTGTCAAACATGAGGAAAAGAGTGAATGCATGCATCACTTTATGCATACTAGAGCAGAGCGCTCCTTTCGGAGCTCCTCGGGGGTTAGGTCAAGTTTTTAAAGCGCAACCAACCTCCCGTTCTCACTTTATGCATACTAGAGCAGAGCGCTCCTTTCGGAGCTCCTCGGGGGTTAGGTCAAGTTTTTAAAGCGCAACCAACCTCCCGTTCGGGGGGGTCGGTTGCGTTTTAAAATCTTGAGTAAGACACTAAACTAATCCCCCCTTCGTCATTGTTGTGTTGGTACAACAATGCCGAGTAAACAAATATAATGTAACATTGTTTGATGACGTAATTTATTGACGACGACGAAATCACAAATTTTTATAGTAGATAACATTTCCAAAATTTTATGTAATGTTTCATGATTTGAGTGTAATTTATTGTTTGACAAACAGAACATGTGTCAGAAGAAGGTTGTATATGACTTTTCGGTCACATGTATTTCAAATTTTGTACAGTTTCGGATAAATTTATTCTGTATTTTCCCATGTTATCAAAATCTTTTTCATTGAACTTGATTTAGTGTTGAATAAGGTCATACATTTATACAAAGTATTATGTGACTATTTCTTTACAGTTATTGTCATGGAGTCATTATCATCAAATTTCTGTCCATGAAATATATTCTTTAAGGACAAAATGTGACGGTTTCAGGGCGCTAGGTCCAGGCTGTGAGTAAGGTGTGGCAGTACAGTTACCTCCCAACTTTGTGCTTTATTCTGTTTGGTGGCCTATGTGTGGTCTAGCGTTATTATGTTGGAAGAAAATGTCTTCACAAATTGTACTTGGTGAATCCAAAAAATAGGGGCCTGTAGTTCCTGCAGTGTCTCAACATAACCATTCAGAGCTAGTGATACCCTCCCCTTCTCACTCTAAAATAAAAACAACACCCAGTGACTGTCTCAGAGCACAGAATGCATGAACTTTTGAGCAGGTTGTTGGGTTTTGAATTTTTTCTCTATTGGTAACATTTGTGGTGCTGTGTATCCTGTTCAAAATGATGAACCTGGTTTTTATCACCTGTCACTTTTGTGTTTCAGCAATGTGTCTTTTAAATTGTCATAGTTATATGTGAGCCTCAGATTTTTGAGATTGTATCACTAAAAAGTATCTTAATATTGATTTGATTTTTTAGTCATTAACTTAACGAATTGTTATGTATCAGCCTTTGCTTTGCAGAGTAAGTCGGCAATTTGTTGGTCCCCGCGATTGACTGTGATTCTTTCTTGTGATTGATGTGTACAGTCATCTCTGCTATTACGCGATTGTTGCATTCATGTAAGATGCCGACCTATAGAAAATCGTGTAGTAAAAATAACCCTGGTACCTCCGCAGAGATTAAATTAGTCCTTTGAAGGTTTAAAGCGTCAGGAATGAAATTGCAAAAGAGAAAACTCGCATATGCAAAAGTTTGCATTTCACAAACAGCTTTTACCAATTCAGCAATCTCATTAGAGCAAATTTGCGTTAACGAAACCTACTTAAATGCGGAAATGACTGTATTTATAATCTTTATTCAAAATCAGCTATGTAAGAATTAAGAATCAGTACGAGATACATTGTAAAACATTATAAATAATAGTAAAGTATATATATATATTTTTTTTTCCACTTTTTGACTTGCTGGTTTCAAAATCAGCGTTATTCTGAATCGGCGCAAATTGACGGCTACCTGTATTAGATACATATACGAAGTACATCAAACCAGGGAGTGCAGTGATGCAGCACATGAAGTAATTGAGCTTTAATTTATAATGTGTTCAGATTTATCAGCGCCATCTGACAAGTAGAGCTGCAGAGAACTATGATTTTGGCCTGACTGGGGATGAGAATGAAGATGATCTTGCTCTGGAGCAAGTGAAGGAAGCTGAGGGAGAGGCGCAGGTGGAGGTGACCATGAGTGGAAAGCGTGTTGTTCGCAAGAGGAAGCTACCAGATCATGATGATGCTACGGTTGGTACACTGTCATTGCAGATTACCTGATTTTACATTTATAATGCATGTTTTCTAAAGTGGTATTGTGCCACTTGTCAATTGAATGGGAGTTGATTTTATTTTGGATTTTTCTTAGTGCTGTTAGAGTGAAAGGGTGTTCATTCATAATTAGGACAATGAAGTGGAAGTGTTTGTTGTAATAGGAAGCTTGGAGTAATTTGTCTGTGTGAAGTCAGCAGATTGTCAAAAAGTGAAATAGGCAGATGGAATGGATTGACCTCATCGACATTGTTCACCATTTTGAACAATGAAAAACATGATCAGCTGTTCTGTATGATGGAAGTCCAGACATTCTGGTTGTGGCATTTAGAACCAGACCCTAACATAGGTTATTGCACATGTGTGAGGTACATACGTCTGTTGTGGGTGGAAGTGGTTAGTACTTGAGGGCACACAGAAAATTGTGCATGGTCTTTTGCTTGTAAAGAATGGATTCTAATGCACTGTCATTTGCGAATATTAGAAGTTGTGTAAGAATACCATGCAATTTTCCACTCACTCTTCAACACACGGTAATGTTTATCTGAATAAAATATGTGGTACATTAGTTACCACTGGGCTTTGAGGAGTTGATGTATAACCCCAGCTGAATAAAATATGTGGTACATTAGTTACAACTGGGCTTTGAGGAGTTGATGTAGAACCCCAGAAATACTAAATTTCATTGAAATGTGTTTAGTAGTTCTGGAACATGCAGTTTAAAAAATGTGACCATTCTCTTTGTGCACAGAACACATGTAGATATGGTTTTCAGGTTAAATTCCTCAGTTCATGGAATTCATAATCGGTATGCAGAACTTGTGTAAGTACGCTGCTTTCAGAATGCTATTTATGTAGGCCTACTTGCAGCAGAATGCGACTGTTAGGATGTGAAGTCACCTTAATATGTTTCTGGGTTCTGCAGTGGATGGTGTGGATCGAACATAGTGCTAGTGGCAAGCTCCAGAATTATTATGTAGTGCTGTACTTTATATATTGACTTCTGTTACACTGGCTGGCATATTTTTTTCTGTCAAGGTTAACAAGAAACTGGCAGAACAGCAGGGAGACCTCCCCCAGGATCAGGTGGAACTGCAGCAGTTTATGGCTCCTACTCCTCTCCCCCCACCTGCCACCCCACAACAGTTCATGCCCCCTCCTATACCACAACAAACCTTATTACAGTCAGAGGTGCCTGACATGATAACGCTTGGTGCTGAGTCTCTTGATGCTGCTCAGTTGGCAGGCATGGTGCCTACCTCTGCTCCAGCTTCTGTTCCCTTACTAGCTCCTCCAACCCCAGGAGTTCCACCCCCAACTCCAGGGTTGCCACCATCAACTCCAGGTTTGCGTCCCACTACACCTGGTCTAGTACCCCCTGCTACCCCCATGCCATCTACACCACTCCCCATGGATGTGGAGATGCCACAGATACCTCCAGATCAGGTAGACAGCATTTGTGATTTTGCTTGATTGTTATTGATTATGGAAGGTTATGTACAGATGATGCAAAAACCTTGTGCAGTTGCAATGTTGATGTCACATCTTACATGCCACTACATTTCCTCTGTTTTTTTTGTTACTGGGAAACAACTGCAGACATTACATCATTCATATTCCTTGCTTGAAATCTTGTAGCATTGATTTAACCTTTAAATGACGGGCCAGTTAATTTAAATTATGAAATACAACATTAAAAAATTCCTATTAACCTTTAAACGATGGGCATTTAAATGGCAAAGTGGTAGCAGCCCTACGGAGTTTTTTTGCGGGTATTTAAATTTTTGTGCACGCTCTACGGAAAACTTTAATATTATCTAAAGTAAACATGTCCAGTGTCCAAAATAACTTCTAGTATTTCTTCAGGCTTTAGTAATTTTACTTTCTTTTTTGGAAGCTCAGTCAACATGGTAGAAGCCATGGTTGTAAACTACTGACCACACAGAAAATTTTGTTTTCCTCTACTTCAGTGGATACACATTCTTTTCACCCATCATGCTGAGGAATGTGCATAACTTTGAATAGGGGTCTGAAAATGAAGTCGAAACCCACTTGACATAAACAAAGTTTATTGCTTTATGGTTATAGTTTCTCAGCTCAGGTTGAACTTGTCAGAACCCTAGAGAAAGTGATTCAATATTTGCAGCCCCTAAAAGAGGCCAAAAGACGTAGCCAAGTCTCCTTACAGTGTTGCAAGTATTTACGTTCTGCACAAGGAACGTTCGTAGGGCTGAGTACTCAACTTACGTTCCCGACAAGGAACGCAAGTAAGATAAAGGTTAAATACTGTACTTAAAAGAATAATATCAGCATATTTATTTCCCCCCACGGCAATTGGTGAGTTTTCAATATGAACCCAGTTTCAGATGTGTTTTCTGTAATGTCTGGTGTTTGCTGTGGCATCCTCTTGCACTTTGTGAGGTTGCTATGTACTGATGTTATGTTCACTAATCATTCAGCAGTTTTTTGTTTTGGTCCTGAACAAGTTTTGATCGTTGTTGGTTTGTTGCCAGGTGCATTCTCTGTTGGAGCAGCATGATCAGTCACTGGTACATCCCATGACACCAGCAGGGCAATCCCTGCCTCAGCAGCCTGCTAATAAAGTTATCGAGCAGGCGCCTCCCCAGACACCAGCATCAATGCCAGAAGAGCAGCTACACCACATGGAGAACATGGGATACGACCTCGTAAGTCCCATTTTCCTGCCGAACCTTTCAGTCTGTGATATGAAAATTTTTTCCAGCCGGTCTATGCCTTTGAATGCTGTACTGATATTCCATTTTGTGTTGAATTTGATGCAAGGAAAGTCTGTGTCACTACTGTTGTGTAGCAAATTGGTTTGCACAGCGGTGGGCCTTAAAACTTCGCTTTTATGGGTGATTGTGATGTGTATTCGTGTTTTAATAATAAGCAAAAGTAATCCCAATAACTGTGGGAGCAACAGGAACTGTCTCCAGGTCACTCAGAAAATATTTGGCCAACATCCTGGGCGAACATGACATCAGGGAACTGCAGAAGACCGCCATTTTGGGAACTTCATACATCATTCAAAAGATGCTGTCATAAAATAAAATTATATAATACATGTAGCACTTGCTAAAGACAATATGTATCCCAGAAATAGCTGCTGCCCTATGTACCATAGGGACAAGGTCTGTCTCGGGTACATGGAAGTGCAAACCCCATAAAGTGGTGACTAGATGGGATAATAATAATAATAATAATAATGTTGATGATGTTTCACTGTCAGTGCAGCTGACACAGTAGGAAAGATGACAGCTGATGTAATGATCATGCTTAATAGAAGGCCATGTATTGTCACAGCCACCATATAGTCTCCCTATGTATACACAAAATAGACAAGTGCGATTGTTTATGTTATGGATTGTTTTTGTAGGACGTGAGATAAGATCGATGCTCATTTGATGCCTTGTAGTTTCGTATGTGAATGATGGTAGCAGGTCACATTGTCATGTTGGGACCATGCTCATCTTCACAGAATAGTTGGCATTGCTTGGGTGTCACTACCATAACATACTAGAGTGACGACATAATTTAGGTAATAATGGAAGTTACGACATCGTATTGCCATGTGTGTTTTAACATCATATTAAATTGGGTTTTGTAGCGAGGTGTATTGTGTTATGTTACAGAATAACCCCCTATTGGCCAACATGGGGTACGATGATCAACATCCACCTGCGCAGACACCGGGTGCCATTTCAGAAAGAGGGGTAGCAACACCATGGAATGAGGACTATGAATTCCCAGCATCAGTTGGACTGGTCAGTGCTGTGTGCATAGCTTGTGTCAGGTTATATTCAGTACACGTATTTGTTGTCTTATGCATTGAAGGTCTTTGATTTTTTGCCGTCACTGAATAGGGTGGATTATGTTATCACACTACTGCGTGTTATATTGTAGCCCTGGACATGCAGACAAATGCAAGGTATGGATAACCTTTCTTGTTCATATGAGAACTGATGTAATTGTATTCAAACGAACAAGCTTGGAAAGTGTGTTCCATACTGGAATATGCATAATATCCTCATGCGTTCTTTGCAGCATGCATTTAGAGGTATTAAATCAGGCTTATTTGATAGTTTCCACTTTGGCACCATATTGCAGCATCTCATTGTTTACCTCACAAATTCCTCAAGTGCCATTTTGTTACCACTGCTTGTAAGATATTCAAAAGTACAATTTTCAGGTAATGTGTTATAGCACAGCCTCCACATCAAATTTCATCCAAATCTGCCCAGTGGTTCTTGAGTTGAATCTACTGCACAGATGGACGGACAGACAGACAGATAGACAGACAGACAGACACTCAATTAACCCATAATGCGAACTTGCTGTGCACTTCATGCAAAGAGCACAAAAATCTTCCATCTCAAAGGCCATTGTGTTGATTCCATTGTCCTGCTGCGATTTAGGTGACTTTAACTGAGTAGTACCTTAAAATATCTCATGACCACATTTTTCTGTATCCTTGGCAATTTGTTATTTAAAGTCATTTTGCCATTCATTGCTGTTTATCTTGTGCTGTTGACGAAGTGTTGTTGGGTAAATGAAAGTATAAACTGTCTAATGACCAAGTTCTCTTCCCTATTCGTACCCAGAGCACTATTTTATGGGAGAATTTGCAGGATTGGCTAGTTGCAGATTGGAAAAGTGATTTGTAGTGGATCACCCTCTACCTTCAACACTGTAACACAGTGGTCCCCAACGCGGTGCCTGCCAAGGCTTTTTTTGGGTGCCCGCGTTGTTACGGAAAGAGGTTATACTGAATAATGAAGGCCGTTGAACCATGAACGTTATAAAATCAAAGCGCAGATCTCGACTTTCTGACATCCATCTTGACGATTGCTTGCGAGCAGCAACATCATCCTACACTCCCAAATTTGAAAAACTGGTCGATGAAATGCAGTGCCAAACATCGCACTAACTTCCCACTTGAGTAATAATAATTGTACTTATAAAACTACGTATTTTTGATTGCATGGCTTCTTGTATCATTAAACTTCGTGTTGTTTTGCGTATTATTTGGTGTCCATATCTTATTTGTCCAGAGAAAAGAAAATTTGGCTTTGTTAATTGGTTGGTGCCTGCCACGCTCCCATAAACTCGTAAATGTGCCCGTAGGCACAAAAAGGTTGGGGACCATTGCTGTAACATGATGATTTTGGATTTTAGCCTGAGGAACAGCAAGTGGATGAGACGTATGAGCAGTTTGAGGAGCGAGTTCTCAACAAGCGTGCTGGACACATGTACCATATAGTAAAGAGCAAGCTCATGCGCAGTGACAAACTGTTCCTGTCGGAAATGGTACATCGAAACAACAGGAAACAGGTGCGGCAGTCAGTATATTAGCTGTTGGTTACTGTAGACTTGGCCGCATGATCCTTTGGGATGTTTCATTTTCAGAAAAAAAACCCTATTACCAGGATGATGCTACTGAATTGGTTTTGCTGTGGCTGACTTCCTGCATGGGGGATTAAATGTATGTTTGTTTATGATGTGTCTTGAAAATCATATTCTTGCTGCCGTCTTATTTTGTGATGTGTCTGAATTAGAGGGATAACTGGCATGACCATATTGTAGTAAATAACATTGATAATACTTTTTCCTTTTTTTCAGTGGAATTTTTTACATTGTAGTTAGATTTCTTAATACAGGCATGGACTACTACATTTAAGGTTTTTGTACAGATACACAAAAATACAGTACTGTACAGGCATACCTCATTTTATTGCGCTTTGCAGATACTGTTTTTTTTTTACAAATTGAAGGTTTGTGGCAACCCTGCGTCGAGCAAGTCTATTGGCGCCATTTTTCCAACAGCATGTGCTCACTTTGTGTATCTGTGTCACATTTTGGTAATTCTCGCAATGTTCTTGAATTGTTTTCTTAGACATAATGCTATTGCACACTTAATAGACTACAGTATAGTGTAAACATGACTTTTATATGCACTGGGAAAGCAAAACTTTTGTGTAACTTGCTTTATTGCGGTGGTCAGGAACCGAATCCGCAATATCTCTGAGGAATGCTTGTGTTTATTTATGATGAATAATTGGATTTTACATGTTTAACTGCAGAATACACACTGCTTTAACTTTTTCAGTTGTGGAGTAAAGTGTTCTGCAAATGTAGAGGCATGACTCTTAACCATTGTTTTGTTCTGTAAATTTTATCAATTAGTTCATAATTATTTTGGTTTAGTGGAAATGCTGGTTGATCCTTTGTGTTTTTAGAGCATCACAATAAGATCTTAGGTTGCAATCCACCTGCAGGTTTCATCTTCTTTCTCATCATCTTCTTCGTCACTGCAGCCTTTCTGGTGGCTGTCAGTGAACTTGTCTGTTTCCTGAATAGTGGCTTCAGTTTCAGCTTTAGAATCATTGTTAAGGAAATCTGCCCTAACATTTTTTTAGTATACATCCCAACCATTGCAATAAAGTTTGTGGAGAATGTTTCGCTCTCCCTTACCATGATGTGAGTCCTGAAATTATGCCATTTTGTGTCCTTATTCCTTTCCATTACTGATAGTTCTATAATAACGAAGTTTGCATAGCCCATTTGTGACCTGCTTTACTACTGATATTGGATAGCTCTGATAACCCAAAACTTATTGTCATATGGAGGGAGGACATCCATGCATACAGAATGAAAATGTCTGTAGATCACACCAAGTGTCACCAACAGTCATCTTCTTCCCTGATTATCCTTTTGACCAAGGTCTGGCCTTTCCGGACTAGCCTTAGCTTCTTCGGGGAATGATCTTTCCAGTGATTTTCAATAGGAGTCTCATGCAAACCTCATCTTTAATTTATACCCTGACACTTTCTAAACTAAACTGCTAGAAAAGATGGTATCAGGACAAATTACATTGTATTCCAAATATTAAATTTATTAAATAACACCAATTCTAAGATACAAACAGCAGTTGTAAAATATAAATCATTGCAAATAATGCACAAAAAATGTCACTTCCTGACTTCAAGTTACCAAACTTTTGCTAGTCTTTAAATGTCCAGACTCTTATTAATTTGGATTACTGAAATAACTAAACCAGAGGGGTTCAATAATTTAAATACTTCCATTTCCAATAATCAGAGATGGACAGAAGCTGACCCCTTATGTATGGTGATGAAATGGCATCTCATGATGCCATGCTAACAAGCTTGATACCGGTGTAGGTAGCAGAAACTTCAGTTTGTTGTAAAGCCTTTGGTTTACAGGAAATTCCAATCTGCAAGGTGTATCACCTGTCTGGAAATAGCAGTAAACCTTTGTTTGTTCTGTAGTTTCACTTTAAGATTCAGGTTTCCATTATAACATACAACTCCTTGAATGGATTGGATTTCCCCCCAATTAAAATATGACATTCTCATAAGCTGATGCATATTTTAAGCGAACTTTAAGATTCAGGTTTCCATTATAACGTACAACTCCTTGAATGGATTGGATTTTCCCCCAATTAAAATATGACATTCTTATAAGCTGATGCATATTTTAAGCGGAGCATATTAAACTTCAATATTTTTGTGTGTAGATTGTGCCTTCATACTGATTAAAAATATTGAGCAATTCAAATTAATTTTGAAAGGCTGAAAAAAAATTATGGGCTGAAGAGAATTGCAAGCCACAAAGGAAGAGATGTTTAAAGGCCAATAAAAGATAGGTTGATGAAATGATATTTTAACCTTTAAAGGATGTGTAGGACATTGTCCCTCACTGCAAGGTGTCTGTCCGCATAGTATGTGACTAAGAAATCTGCCATTACTACAAAATGATGGGTGTTCATCATAGGAATCTGTGTCGAAAAGGGTCGTAAGGAATTGTGCATGATATGGTTTGACGAGAACAGATTCTGTGTGACTGACTGTTTTCTTTTTCTTTCTGCTTTTAGGTGGCCCAGAAATTTTACACACTCCTTGTGTTGAAGAAACATGTAGTGTTGGAACTGCATCAAGAAAGCTCGTATGATGATATTATGATCACACGAGGTGCAAAGTTTGAAAATCCGTCTCTCTAAATGTCTGTTGACATGTGGTAAGAAAATAATGGTGGACGGAAGTGTAGTTGTGGATTTTGTAAATAGCCATTTCATACAAATTCTATAGACAGATAACTGGTGCATTATATGTGCCTGTTTGGTGTGGGAGGTTTAGCAGGAAACGTAAAGCACGGTTTGATGGATGGAGTGTGTGAATGGATGTTGCATTTTAATTTGGAACAGTTTATATTTCTGAGTTTTGAAAATAATTATGTGCTGAATAGGAATGTAACAAGTAAAGACACAGTGCAGGAACATGCACCACTCACAAATACTGTCTGTTCCCTTTAATTACTGTCCAAGATGTTATCATTTTCATTAATATATATTATCATTATTTTTATTTTTTCTTAATCACCACTTCCCTTAAATAGGTCAGGTGGTATGAACTTTTGCCATTGAATTAAAATTTTCTTTCCATATGAATTTAAATTGATTACCAGTTCTGTTTTACCAGATTGGAAAGCACCGTGAATCAGCTGGTGTAGTTTATTGTAATACAGTAAAATCTCAGTGTAACATTTTAGAATTTTGAAAATATCATTCATCTCATAACGAAGTATTTAAAAGTATTTTACGATAACATATCGGTATAACAAGATTTCAATGAATCACAGCAGAACATCATCTGCATTCGAAAGAAACGTATTCAGTTTAACAAAATTATTTTGGTGTTAACATTTCCTGAGCAAGCAGTATTTCAGAATTAAAAAAAAAATCTTTGTTTCATTCAGATAATATACTAGATGTCACAAACATACATGCACTGTAGTCTAGATGTCAGTTTAGTGAACTGTAGGACACTTTTCAACTTCTGTAATTCACCTGGTGCTCAATATGACACTGAATAAAACTAGTAGTGATGGTGATTTTGTGTCATTTCTGAATTGTGTGGTTTAAAATATTTTAGAAATATAATCAAGTGATATGCCATCACAGTGACCGCGTGGTCTGAGGCGTTGGCCTCGTGCCACTTGGTCACTGGGATCATGGGTTCGAATCCCTCTCAAGGCATGGATGTTTGCATCTTTCTGTGTTGTGCTGTCCTGCGTACAGGTAGAGGCCTTGCGACGGGCCGATCCCTCGTCCAAGGAGTCCTACCGAATGTCCATAGATCAAGCCAACGAAAAAGTTGTGACCCGCAGATGCTCAGGTACTGAAGAACGGGTCGTATAAAAAATATCAAAGTGTTGGTAATGAATTTGGATATAATCAGGACTTATCACAAAAGTGGCAAATCAGATAGTAAACAAAGTAACAAGCAAGCAGTTCCATTTGTCAGTGAGTGTGCTGGGAAATGGCAAATGACAATCTGGCCCCTAGATGTCTCCTAGTGGCATAATGTTTGACAGCCATCATCAGAATACTTTGTGTAAGTGCATTTGTGCAAGGAATGCATAATAGTTTCTGTTATATGGGAATAGGGATTTTTAACTGCCGTACTCTGGGGCTGCCAGCCATTCTGCTGCTGTGCATAAACTTAGACGCACAACCAGTAAAGGATAATTAACATAATAATGTAAATGTTGGATTATTTTGTTTATGTTGTAGGAGCAGGGTGGGTAGTTGTTCTTACACTTGTGAATATTGTTGCAAATTCACATTGTGACACTTATTCAACAAAAAGTTATTGAGCTTTGAGAAGTTATAGATCTTGTGTTTTTAATTTCTTTTTTTATTGCCTTCACAAATATTTCAATGTGAATATAATTTGTTAGTTCAGAAAACAGTCATACTGAGATTTTACTGCAGTTAAAGAAAAAGGAAGTATGTTTTCCATGCGTGAAAAAGTGGCCAGACTGTGAAGTTGGCCACACATTTGTATTTGGTACCAAGATTAAGAAAGTGTGGAGCATTAACTTCATGTCTTCATGGTGTGGTGCATTACCTGTGCCTCTGGACCCTTAAGCTGCAATCTTTGTGACACTCCTTCTGGCAAGTTTTATTTGATTCTCATTAATTCTTCCATAGGTAGTAGTGCCATTGGATTGCTTTCAGTTGGCCACATTTTGTTTTTATCAGTATGGCCTGTGCTTGAGTTTAATACCAAAAACATACTAAAGAAAATCCATTAAATTGTTGCCTGATAATTCATATTACGTATTTCAGAATTGGTAAGATTCTTCACTAGGAAAGATGCAGTTTTCATGCTTCATAAAGTGAACTGTTGGAAACCGGATTGTATTTAATGCAACTGTATCAGTTGCAGAGATTATTAAGCATTGAAAAGAAGTAAGAATATATATGAATAGATTATTTGTGAAGAATTGGAAATGAAGCAGCATATTTTAAATTACTGTTATCATGCCAGCTGGAAGAATTGGGGGAGAAGCTCAGGACAATCAGGTCCCTCCCAAATACAATCAAGATTCATTACTGCAGAGATAACTGCTTGGGGGACAAACAAAAGCTAAAAAGGTTTGAGTTAACCCCTTAAGTGGGCTAAGTGCATATGTGGGCGGTTGGATAATGCCTGCCCAGTGGGGAGTGCACATATATGAATGCTTCAGAAAAAATGCTGTTTCTCATTGGGCTAAGCTCATATATACGTGTTATTACTGTCATGCCTCAATCGAATGTTCTGCCATCTAGTGAAATTTTTTTAACTCGGTGGTGCTGCTCTAAGTCGCAGTATGCGCGCTTACACTGAGATTTGGCTGCAGTGGAGAAATAGGCAACCGTGCTTGACTGAGCAGTAGTTTTTGGCTTAATGATATTCTCCCAGCTAATTTGATGGAACTGCAAATTATTTCTTGAACTATGTGAACAGAAGACATTAAAAAGAATTGATCGTGAATTACTCCACTAAATCCAATGGAAATAGTAGGAGAAAGCAAATGATAAATGTTTAAAAATGTGAAATTGTTAGTAAAATAGCTAGAAATTCAAACAACATGAACATTTTTATTTCCATACCTAATAAATATATATTGTCTGTAATATATAAAAAATCACCATTATTTTTAATAAAATAAAAAGCCCCCTTCTGGTGATGCAATGGCCTAAATTTTGCCACTACTTAAGGGGTTAACATTTCAGTGAGACCAAAAAAATGTCTGTGTTGAATCACGAAATCGTTGGTTGGTTTTCATTAAAAAGGTGTCTGGTTTAAATATTGTCAAGCTGCCCTGACATGTCTTCGTGGGTTTACTCATTTCCATCATTTAATGGCTAGGGTATATTTTAAGTAAGCCTTGATTGCTTCTTTCCACATCCTTGCACTGTTTTTAATGATCTTGCTGTTTGTCATTTAATGTTATAAAACCCCTCATCATCAAGTAAATGAACTGGCTTATGGAATGCTGAACATCATGTTCCAGTGTAAATTTGCTCATTAGTTGGATCTTCCTGTCTAATGCTGTAAGCAGCTGGTGGATCCTAGTGTGACATATTGCATAACCATTGCATAGCTTGTAAGCAGTAACGTAAACAGCAGTGAATAGAAAACTCCTAATAAGAGAATAAATATAAGTATTGCTGATGATATGTTACAGTGAACATAACTGATATTATGGACATTATCCTACCATCTTGGATTTTTCTCAAACATTTCAGAAACTGCATCTGTTTTCATCATTATTTATAAATGGTGGAAGGTTTCCTAGTTAGTTGGGACCCCTAGAACATACTAATCTCAATTCTTGGATCAAGAACAGCTTTTAAGGGACCAGATTGTGTAGAAATCTTTCCTTCGTTTATACTTAATGATGGGAAGAGTGACTTTCCACGGCGTGTTTGAGAAAACTCCACGACCCTGAATAATGTCCATAATAATAGTCCTGCATAAGAGAAGTAATAGCAAGATTTTGTTAGGTGGTGTGTGGGGCAAACACTGGTCATTGAGATGAAACTGCTTTTCACAAAGGGTAGTGGCCCTGTTGTGTTTATATATAACTATTCAAAGAGAAAAACTCAACAGGTGCCTCATGTGTTTATGGAATTAAATCAGTTGCCCGCTGTGAAGCACTGGGTAGGCCAGCCTATTTCTTTGGCCCAAGTGACAACTTGTTGGTCACTTTAGGGTAACATGAGCAACCTTAAGTAGCCTCGATCTGATTTAGTTTTATCAGTCATAGCCATAGGCCATAATATTATATTTAATGGAAGTTACTGCCGTTATTTGAAAAAATCTAAGGTGAAGGCTGGTGAAATTTTAAAAAAAGTGTAAAACTTTGCGAGCCAGATAAAAAGTAGCAACAATTTGAATCTGGTCAAAGGGCCAGAGGTTGCTCTACAGGAAGGTTTGAAAGTTTGTCTTGTTATACTTATATGATTTATTTATAACTGAGCATTTGCTGTGTTAGGTTATTACTAGCTAAGAACTCATGCTGTCTGAAGTGAACCACCACTCATATCTGTAGAGACCTCTTGGCTATATAACCTGATTCATTGCACTGTTATCTCGTTTCCCACGAAGAAGGTGAATAAATACCTTACAAAGCAAGCTTTTAGTTTGCCTATACATTACTTGACACATTGTTTCTCAGTTTTCATTTTTAAAAACAGTACAATGTCTAAAGAAAATTAACACCTGAAACACTTGGTTTAACACATTGCATGATAGTGCCAGCCATTTTGACCACATCCCAAATGTGCTTTCTAGGGTATTTAACTGCTTTAAGCTGGAAACAGAAACGGCCCCTTCTGATGTGATGAGGGATTGTTAACTTTATATTGTGCCACGAGTTCTCCTTAGCAAGCAGTAATCTAATATAGCAAATCAGTTATAACAGTGAATCAGGTTACGTAGTCAAACTTTCTCAGGAAGGAATTTCATTGAGAGATATCTTCATGTTTACAGTATCTGATGCAGACTTCTGTCTAGTTTGTTTGGTGATCATTTGTGTAAAAGTGAGACAGTTTGTAGGATTTGAGGTTCTCACAGCTAGGAGTACGAAGATGACTTGTCTTCTGGGTTGTAAACTTCTGCCAGACTATGTGGTGCTACAACCTAGAAGACTGTTATTGTTATATACTGCGGCAGACCTAAATTACTAATGAAGTCCAAAATGATCTTGTCAGTAATTATTGAGAAAGATGTAATAACAGATCTCAAATTATTGTTATATATTGAAATTTTTAACTGGTTGACGTGGGGGCAGATAAGATGCTCTTTGTATTACACCATTTTGCTGTTGGAGTCCGGGGCAAGTAGCTAAGCAGTCTCCAAGACTAGCAGCAGACAGTTTAGTTTTGAGTGGGGCAGAAATTTCTCTTATGGAAAAACAGTTCCATTGAGAGGCATTTGAAATCAGAACACATTCAGAATTATCATTGAAGAAAGTTTGTTAGTTTTTGATCACAGTAAACTTGAGGCATGTAAGAAAATGTGATATTTGTCTATATTTTTTTCAAGAAGAATTCCTTGGACTGAACTGTTGATATCAGCCAGATGTAGATTATGTGACATTGCATTTCCATGGTTTTGATAAGTCTTGTTACAGTAAATGGAGTGTTTATATCCTTCACTACCATTTAACAGATTGCCAAGGGTTTATGCATCCAAATCATTTTGTTCTGAAGCTACTAACCTCACTGCATTTCTTGTAAGTTATGGTTATAAATCCTGCTCAGGATATGAGTATATCTTTTCCACTCCATAACCTTTGGTACAGGAAACAGATGACTTTTTTTTTCTCTTTCTGTGGTATAAGAGGGCAGTAGTGTGAACACTGCCAATAACAGACAATAACTTTGTGCAGGATGCTCCGTGCCAGTGTAAGATGACGGTATAAATCAAACTTCTGTATGTGTATTTTCTAATGGTGGCAAGACAAAATTTCATATACAGTGTTATTAAAGACTGTACATACTACATTTTCCAGAGAGTCATATGCATGCTCACAGGATGTTTCCTTTCATGTTTACCTGTTTTAGAATTGTTCACAGTGTGGTTTCTGGAAGATGGCTTGGAATATGAACTTGGTCAGAATAAGTAATTTGTATTAAGAGTAAATTTTAATGGAAGGAAATCAATATATATTAGTAAAGTATATTTTTATATATATATAAACATTAATGTCATAATGAGAACAGGACTTCAGTGCATGATAATTATTTGTGAAGTCTAGTCAAAATGTATTTTGAAGATGTCTGCATAAGAGGGGGCATTTTGAAACGGGTATAGTTACATAGTATTATAGATAAGGTAAATGGGGAAAAAGTATTGTATTTTAATTTATTAAAGTGCAATATTTTATCAGCAGTTAAATTTATGTCTAAAAGATGACCACAGAAGTTACTTGTGACAAGAGCCTCCTCTGTGAGGATCAGTTTATATATGTATATATAGGCTGGTCATGTTATGCAGTGTTCTGGGAGTAGTTCTGAAGCATTGAGAGATTGTCATTCTCACAGAAATGCTAAAAAGAGTCAGTCAGTCAGTCCTGTTAAGGTGAATGTTTCAATTAATAAAACAAATATACTGACACTCGAAGTTTTCACTTATTTTAACAGGTTAGATGTTCTGCCATCTGATTGGTGATAATCTCTCATTGTCTATATGACTTTCATAAATTGAACTGCATAATTATGTAGTTCTTGTTATTCCAAGTCATTTTCCACTGTATTATGTGACAATTTAGAATTGTAACAACTGCTTTGTATGAGAATTACAGTGTTCAAAGTGGTGAGGATATTTAAATCTTAACCTGCTTTCTTGTGATGACTGGGTACATAATTATTAAGTTATTTATGACAGATTTTTACTTACTTTCCACTAATAGTATAGCAGAGGCAACAGATTTTGGTGTTTGTCAAAATGTAGCAACATTATACAGTATACTTTCCATACCATCTCAGACATTTGTTGGTACAGGATTGTATACATGTTCAGCACCTGCATACCAAAAGTGGGTGGTATGTGAGAATTGCAATAGGACAAATTTAGCTTAAAAGACCTTCTGTAGGAGGTAAACTAGTTATGTGTAAGATGTTCATTCTCAGTGCAACTGTTTTTCAAGAATATAAGTTTAATAAATGAGAAAGTGTTAACTGTATTGATAAAAAAATGTTTTATCAATTTTTAGGAATGTCCATTTGTTTTACATTGGTACCTAAAGGATGTGACCCATTGAGAAGTTGGGAATTCTGCATAAGTTCTTTCAGAAACAACGTGATGATCAACAATTCTTTCATTTCAGTTTCCATATCAAACACACAGACAGGCCAACATCACCCCCCACCGGCACTAATACACATACAAAACCTAGATTTTACTACAAATAATCCCAGTTTGTTTTACAACAGCAGGAACTAGAGTAGAGTATTTTTCATGTTCAGTGTCATTTATAAGCAGGCAATAATTTAAATGACGAGAAGAAATGGGATTTTTCAGGGCTGCCAGCACTAACGTGCGTTTGTTTCCCTCTAACCGTAATATAGTGACGTCAGCAAAATGCACAATTATGTCCTTGTACAGTAAGTCGCCTCCAGTGCAACATTCAGGCAAATACACTGCGACTGCAATCACTGGACATCATAAAAGAAGCGTGAAACTACGTATTAACTGTAACTCCAGTTATTACTTTAACGAAATTCTACCAACTCCAGGATAAATGAGAATAAATTATCAATCCTACTGAATTCTTAAACGAACCCATTTCGATACAATTTTGCGAGATATATCGCAGAATAAAACTGGTAATATCTTGAGACTTGTGTGACAACTGGTGACTGGTGTAGCAGGTTGTGTAGTTTCAAAATGTCAACAATTGCAAGTCCATTATCAGTAGCAGGCACTCGCTCATCAGGGACACCGATACGGACACAAAATGGTAATGATCTGTAATTTATTGTATTTTTGATAAATTAAATTAGGGTGGAGAATGTCCGTCTTGAGATGAAGCACGCGGTTCTGTATGCCAGCCATATTTGTGCTTGGCTGTGTAATAACATGCGACCATCTGAGTTTTCAAGAACAACAAAACTTGCATTATGTAAAAGAATTTTCTGGTTTAGTATTATAATAAATTACATTAACATTTAACACTTATTTGAACTAAATCATAGTCATCGATTGGGCAGCCTAACCTAAATAATAAGTGTAAGAAAGTTCTGCCTCTAGACAGTGAAAATGGTAGAAGATTGCGTGAGCAAAGTTACTTAACCTTTGGTGATGAATTTTTTTTATCCAACGCCTGTTTTAAGTTGCCTTTCGGCCATCAAGTCACGAGCAGACCAGTATCATGTGGCAAGTTCTGTATAGTTTAACGAGTCTTTTCTTTCTCCCAAGCCCCCACATGTCAAAAGAAAAGCGTCCTTGATGCCTTCTTTGCAGACAAGGCATGTCTGTGTATTCGGAAGTCCGAATCTGTGAAGGTGCTTATGTAGGTAATCATGACCAGTGAATGCTCTGAAATTCACTATAGATATCTGTTTTGGGAGGAATGGTGGAATGTTTTTCTCAAGGAGACTGCAATACTTCTTCCCATTCATACAGGTTTCCGAATCCTCTCTAACTTTCTTGGCGATGGCCAGCTTAATCTGATAAAATTGTTCGCACAATTGCACTGGCCTGCATTCAGCGAAAACTCATTTAGCAAGTAAGACTTTCCAAGGGGCACTGTGTGGAGGCGACTTGAACCAGCATGAATTTGCTCTTACCAGTATATTCAGACCAAATACTACACTTGGCCATGTTGTAAGGGATCTTAGATCATTAAATGAAGTTCATACCAAAGAAGCTTGTAGTGGAATGACAGGAAAGGGTCCTCAATTATCAGTCTCTGAGAAATTTGATAACATTCAGCTGCACATCACCTCAGGGAAATGAACCCCCAGTTCCTGTTGAGTCTGGATACAGGCCAGAAGAAGAATTCCTTTTTGCTCCTTTCGATGGAACCATGGCCATCCAGTCTGCAGTCACTGTACTGTTTAATAAATTAATCTTGGGTTACCAGCAGTTTTATGTGGTTGAAAGCCAAAAACACTGTTTTGAGAACCATCTTCAGTACAACAATGGTTCTGGAAACACTGGTGTTCTTGCTTTTAATCCACCGGACACGGCTGATAGCCAGTCACTGTGACAGCTTCAGATCATAAGTCACTATAATGATTGAGCTACCTGAACCCTCTTTGATCTTGTTCACTTCAATATTAATAATGATGGTTTATTTGTTATGTGAATTGACAGTTGTTCTCATATGATGTGATCATGTTGAAACCATAAAAGGAAGGAGTCCAGTGCACTACCTTGATCACATCACTTAAAGTCAAGTGGCATCTGCAGTGGATGACATCTTTGTTACATAACCCACAAACTAATCATTAATCATCTTATACCAGTATGACAAATCACAATTATTTATATAAATGTAATACTGTGGTCAAGAATTCCTCTTAAGGATTGGACATTTCTTCCATAAGACCTAGTTCATTAATATTAGCTGTGATTACCTAAAGGTATTATATTATAGAATCAGAGAACAGCTGAAACACAAAAGTTCAGTGATAAGAATGCCTTTCAGTCTGCATTATTTCCTCTGTTCCAGTAATGGCAGCTTGTTCCATTGCCAATATTGTGAAGAGCTCATTGGGTCCAGTCGGCCTAGACAAGATGTTAGTGGATGACATTGGTGTATGTATTCTATAAAGTTATATGGTCCATTGAAACATAATGATGGCAAACTGTGTCTGCTTTACAATTAATTATGGTGAAATTTAAAAGTATCTGATTCCTAGAGCCAATAGCTTGTTCACTTCAAAGATTCGGTGCATATTTTAAACCTAATTTTGACTATTGTTAGCAAAATTAGATTTCATGATTTTGAAACTTATATATCTGTTTGCTGATTGTTTGATTTGTTGTGTATAATTTAAAATAAGTCCTGGTGATGTATCTTTTGCTCATGATTTAAAAGTTTTTACATGGAAAGATTTCTGTAAATTTGAAGATAAATGCAAAATGTAACGAGTCATTGAATGTTGTGGTAGGATGTGACTGTTACTAATGATGGGGCCACTATTTTGCGCTTACTTGAAGTGGAGCATCCAGCGGCTCGTGTGTTGGTAGAACTGGCACAGCTACAGGATGAAGAAGTTGGAGATGGAACTACCTCAGTGGTAAGCAGGTTGCTCTTTTCTTTGTACACCCTTCCCATTTTAATATTCACAGCCATTTTATGATTTGACACCTTATAACCCATGCAGTTCAGAAGGCATCATTAAAACAAGAGTAAGAAGCAATATTATTTCTGTCCATATTCTTTTTTTAGCTTTCCTGAAATGAAGCATTCTGCAACTTGTTTGTGTTCCCCAAAGTGACGACAAAAATTGCTGTAGTTGCTGACGTACATTATTTATCAGATTAGGTGACCAGTTGGCCTGATTACTAGGCTTGCAGGCAAGTTGAGGCTTTAATCTCTGGTTCTGCTATTGTATTTGATGCCCCCAGGTGGTCAGGGGTATCTAAGCTCAGGGGAACAGTCGCCAACCTTCCTCTCTTGCTGTGTCAGGTTCACCACCACTCAGTACAGTAAATCAAGTTAAACAGGAAGATGGTTGTCTCCGAGATTGTGGAGCTGTGTACCAAGATAAAGTATAGCTTTTATAGGAACAACAGAAGCAGAGAATAGCAATATGTCAGTCTGTCTGAACAACACAGTTACCTTACGCTGAGAGAAGAAGTGAGCATAATACAGATCAAATTAAATGGAACAGCGTTCGTAATCTTTCCTTACCTATGCAGTAAACAGCTTGAGCTCAGAACACAGAGTCAATGGACTGTGCACATATTTAAGCAACTTGTTTGAAACAAGAATTTGACTAGAGTTTGTATAAGTAGAAATATGAAGTCACCAAATGTAAACTGAAAAAGAAATTGCTCCTTCTCTCAAGGGTAGCCCCAGTACTCCCCCATTCAGTGTCCTCAGGAGAAGTAACTCACTAGAGTAAATACATCTCAGTACATATTAACCTTTATGCTGCTGATTCTGTAATACTACAGGCTTGATTCAACATGGCGCCCTTGCTGTGCTCGCATTCATATGGGTGCATTGTTTATAAACGCATGTCATCCATATTAACTTTCAGACTTGCCGTGTGTATACTTCCATCTACCACGAACGCAATGAACTACAAGTCACATCTTTTTCTGACTTTGTTTGCCACTTATAAAGGAATTTTGAAACTACTGCATCTAGCAGTTGGAATACCTTACTCTGCTCGTAACCTCACTTTGGCCATCACAAGAATAGTAAAAATGATATCCGCTAGCAGGCCCCATAGGCTGTGCGGAATAATAGATGAGGAAATTACAGACTTATTGACAACACAACATGCATAAAGTGTTTCTTAGTACTGCACAGTCAGTGTTCTCAGTCTGTTATGAACACAACCAGTGCTTCCTTGAAGAGATGGTTATATTGCGTTATTTCTGCTGTAGGTGATTATAGCAGCTGAGTTGCTGAAAAATGCTGATGAACTTGTTAAACAGAAGATTCATCCAACGTCCATTATCAGTGGCTACCGACTGGCGTGCAAGTGAGTTGGTGATACTGTCCCAGAATTACAGTACAATAAATAGATTGTCACATTAAGTTATTAAATAAAGATGTTGTGATGGAAAGCTGTTATATTTGCATTGAACATAGGTAATTTTTGAGACATTTTTGGAGAATACATCTTTTTATAAGTATTTACTTTAGCTTCACAAGCTCCAGAGCTCCTTATGGCACATCAATTAAACATCAATGACCTGGAATGTGAGATGTTGAAAGTCTGAGAACAGAGAGAGTATTTGTTTACTTTCTGAAACTCATGTGTTTGTTATGGTTTATCATGTGATATGTTTCAGGGAGGCTTGCAAATACATCCAGGAGCACCTAACCGTTAGCGTGGAGGAGCTGGGCAGAGAGTGCTTAGTTAATGCAGCTAAAACAGCAATGTCTAGCAAGCTCATAGGACCGTATCCTTGTTACAGTTCATAGTGAGGAACGTAGTAAAATGCAGTGTAGAAACAGCCATCCTTGGTTGCTTTATGGGGTTATTAGCGATATTAGTTACTTCTGGTTGTCAGCACATTAAAAGGTCGTGGCAAGAACTTGGAAAGGAAACTTAATTGTTAACCGAAATGTAGTTAGAGGCATTTTCCTCACATTAGATGTAATGGTTAGAACAGGTCCCAGTCCGAGAAAAGGATGGAAGGATCCTGTTCATAATATGTCGCCAACCTCCTGTACAGGAGACGGTGTAATAAAGAAGGAGGAGGGTAATATTAAGGTGGATTATAGATACATAGGTTCTGAAGATGTGAACAGGCTGTAAGGATATACTTTTATGATGAAGGTGATGAAACTTCAGGTTCCGTAACAAGAGAGAATTTCTTGATCGCCAGAGTAACTGTCAACTGCTGAAAAAAGAGATGTGGAGTGTTTTTTTTGTAGTCAATACCCTAATGTAATTGTCCACGATTAAACATCGCATTTGAAGTTGACTGTTGTGTAACCTACGAATGTATGGGCTGTTGTTATGTGATTCGTAAGTGGACTTGATGCAGATAAAAATACAGATTGAGCTTTGGTGGGGCTACATCTGGGAAAACAACGGCATGGAAAGTTGAAATTTGAATGGGAAAGTAATATTAAAAACAGTTATATGGAAGTAGTTAGTGCAGACTGGGCTAATGTAGCTTAATCATGTTCATTGATGGGCTTCATTGTCAGCAGTGTTGTTGGTTCAGGTTCTGAGTTATGAGCATTTGAACTAATGTAGAGTTTTCAAAGAGTGCAGGTTTTGTTTGAGAGTTGAATGCCAGCCGTATGCTGTTCCATTTCTTAACGGTAGTCCAGGGATTCAGAGTATTTCTCGAACATGGTAGTGGATGCTGCTCAGGCAGTGAAGGTGTCAGATGGCAAAGGTGGCTTCTTGTGCCCTGTGAAAGCAGTGAACATTCTGAAAGCTCATGGCCGTAGTGCCAGGGAGAGTGTGCTGGTGGCAGGATATGCCCTAAACTGCACTGTGGCATCTCAAGGTGAGCAATCGCGGGCTTTTTTACTCCAAGCGTCTGCATGGGTAAGTGCTGACACAGTTCGACCAGTACAATTCCATTTACATTTCAGGAGGTTAGGATAAATATAATTTTTAACTATAATTTTGCCTTTGCAGCTTCAGGCTAAAATTTAGTATTTTGTTAGTTTTATCCACTAAGCTTTGGAATGTCCTTTTTATGGAACAAATGGGATGTATTTAAAATTGTTGCTGCTAGAAAGCCTTATTAAGTCCGTAGTAGGATATGATTGTCACTGGTGGTTTCTCATATCAAATTGATGAATGTAACTGTAGTCTTTTGTGTGGTTCTTCAAGTCTGTGAATTTGAACACTAAATTGAGAAAAGTCTTGAACAGATGAAATTTTAACATTGTGATTGTTGATTTGGGATCATTGAAATTGGAGGTGAAGTGAGAAAAACCTCAAATTTTGGAATGTTAAATAGGGGTTTTGCTGTATTTGTTTTTATATCAGTGTGAGTTTCTCTGAGGGAAGAACACAGATTGAGGGTATTAAGAATCAAGTCCTGAGCAGAAAATTTGGGTCTAAGGGAGAGGAAGAAGGAGGATGATGAAGAAAATGATGGTTAGGTGATGAAATTAAATATTAGCTATGTTGCCTTAATGACAGAATTGAAAAAGTAAATGTACGTTTCTGTTTTTTGTTGTTTTTTTAACTTGAAGGGAAGAGACCATTTGGGAGACATATCTTCTGGATTGTAATGCCATAAATTCTGCTAGAAGTTTCCTAATGTTTTGGAGGTGCTTGCTGCCTCCATCATCATGACCCTGATGGAGGCAGCAAGGAGCTTTGTAACATTGATAAACTTCTAGCAGAATTTATGGCATTACAAGTCAGAAGATAGCAGTCTTCATACTCACCACTGTGAAAACCTCAAATTCCACTTAGTCATATAAATGAATCACGTCATGTTCTGTCGAGTCGTTTCCGACTCGTGACCTCATGAACCCTGCTTCTCCACATTGTTCTGTCTTTTACTTTCTCCTTTAGCTTTTCTGGATTTAGCCCAGTCAATTTTTGATGGAATTTAACCATCGCGTTCTAGGCCGTCCATATCCCCTTTTCCCGGACATAGATCCCAATACGATATTCTTCTCCATTGACTCCTCTGCCCACATGATGTGGCCAAATGAATATAATATTAAAATGAAACTTAGAAGAATAGGATGGCTAGGTTTGAATTTACTCAGGATAGGGTGCAGTTGTAGGTTTTTTTATGGTGATGAACATTAGACTCAAAAGATGCAGGGAATTTCTTCAACGGTTGTATAACCATTTGGTCAGGAATTTCCTTCACTGGCGACAGATTTAACTGGTAGATGGGTGGTTGAGTAAGACTGTTTACTGTGTGAGATTTTAGGTTCTTACAGTGGTGAAAATGTCAATGTTCTTTGGTTATTATGCACTGTAGATACCATTATTTTTGAGAAACTTACTGCCTCCATCTTCTGAATCGTATCTACCTATGAGTCCACACTGTGTCACAACTCAGAAGAACCTTAAATTATGTGTAGTAACGAAATGCTTGTGGTGTTTATTGAATTCTTACGCAGCAAATTTGAATTTTCAGCTATGCCAAAGAGGATAGTGAATGCCAAGATTGCCTGTTTGGACTTTCCTCTGCTGAAGGCTAAGATGAAGTTGGGTGTACAGGTGTGTGTTGGTAGAAGTATGCAGTTTGGTTATTGTATTATTATTATTTCGGTCAGGAAAGACCATGTCTCTGTGGCATTGTAGCTGCTAATGGGCCCGTTGTCCATCCCCCAGATGGCACATGAGTGAATATGGAGCACTGGTGGAATGATATTGACAGAAGACAAAAGCTATTCCAGTGCCACTTTGTCCATCACCAATGCCACATGGACTGTTCTGAGATTGAACCTGTGCTTCTGTGGTGAGAAGCCAGCAGCTAACTGCTTGTGGTGTGGCATGGCTTAAGCAATTTAGGTACTGTGGCAACCCCCAATGTAGTGTTTTTTGTGTTTTAATCCATGTAGTGTTTTTATTTGTATTCTTAATGATGCAAAAACTTTAAATATAGAAACAAAAGAAACGAGTAATTTTCTTGTTTCAATCTGGCTTTTCGCTGGTGATCAGAGTGTTTGGAAGTTAAGGAGCCAGATGGGGCTTTGTTCTGAATGCATTTCTGTGTTCTGATTACATTTTCCTTCTATGTTTTTACCAGTGTACGCAGTTCTGTTTCCTGCCAAAGTTGCTGTACATCTATGTGAATTCACTGTTATTCCTACTGTGTTTGGTGTACTTTCTCGCATTTGGTCAACTCGTCTTGTTTATATTCTCCAGAGTAGTCATTCAGTTTCATTTTTTATGCTTTTTAGTGATCTATTGTCATAACACGTGGCCATACAATGACTGTCTTGATAAACTGATTGTTTTGTAAGCACAAAATCACAATTTTAGTGTAATTTGGCTGCATATTTCAGGACAACCAAGTAACTTGAGAGCAATAAAAGGTGCCTCTGTAACCTTTATTGTCTGTGTGCCATGTCTCACACATGATCCAGCTGACCATGTGTTGCAGTTGCAGGATTAAAGTTTAGCCCCATAATATGGGGCTTTAATACCTTAATTAATGTTTGATGAAGGTTAAAGTCAGTTCTTTCCTCAGTCTTTGTGTGATACACAGCAAAGTAATTTAAAACATTTTTGGAAATTATGTTTTTTGATTATTTGTGTTTTGCTTTGTAATGTACTTCTATAATTTTGTTTTAATATAATATGAAATTATCTTTTTTGGCAATTTTTAAAAAAAATCAGGATATTAGTGTTTATTTCAGAACCTTGAAAGTGAAGGGTAGCAGTGGTAATGGATAATTGATTATTTCAATGTTTGGGGGGGGGGGGGGGGGGGGTTTT